GGGCCGCGCCGAGGAGCCCGGGGGTTGGGGCGGGGGGGCAGCGCCTTCCCCGACGGGGGCTGACGGGAGGTCGTGTCGTAAAAAAAAAACCAGAGGTGGAACCTGCCCTTAGTAATTAGATTTAGAAACACACGTTGTTGTGCTGTGCGAGACTTTCCCTGGTAAGAAAGTGATTTCTCCTTGGCCAGGATCGATGACAACGATGGGGAGTTTCTCTTGATAGAAGCGGCTGATTTTCTCCCAAAGTGGCTGAATCCTGAGAACAGTGACAACAGGGTGAGTAAAACTTGTGTACCGGTTGGCCAGTGGCTCACAATGGCCTTTACCTACCAGTTGGAGTTTTCTCTTGCACCTCTGTCCAGCCAAGTGGTCTGACTGCCACTGATAATCCGGAGCGCTGTCTATCCCTTACTCGTGAAGAAACCTCTGGTCAGGGCCCAAGACTTGTTTTAATTAACAGCGTATTTTTTTCAGCACAGTCTGTTCTGGTTTTAATGAGCTTCTTTACTCTTGCTGTGGACATGGAATGAGAGACTTTAACCCCTGGAAACCTCTGATACTTGATTCTGCTCTGCATGCTCTGGCACAGCGCTATGCGGAGTGAGTGCATCCTGAGAAATTGCTCTAGAGGTGTCTGGAAATTGCTACAGATACCAGGTGGTTCTTCTAGAATTGGTTTGTTGATGGAAGGAGGAATTTCTTACACTAATATCTTCTTACAGTAATGGCATAACACTCGTATGGAGACTACAGACCTGCCTGCTAGGCTGTGAGTCTGTGGTGTTCAGCTAGATCTTACTCTTGCACATAAGTCCCTCTTTGAGTTGTTCCATAATGCAGAGCTGACTACACTTTGTCAAACTTGCTATTCATGGTGCCAAATGTGAAGGCAGTGAAGCTATCATGCCATTGATTGATCTGTAAAACCAGTAAGTTTGGCCAGCTTTCTGCTTTCTAGGTTATTGGAGTGCAAGGAAAGCTTGGATAACATGGCAGTGTACACAAACATACCACATTCCTCTCCTCAGGAGCACTCTTGGGATCCACCTGAGCTTTCTAGCTCTGCTATAGCCACTTGGATTTTTTCTACCTTATTCTCAAGTGCTCAGGCATGAGGGTTTGCTACCCTCAGATTGGGGAATGCTCGAGGCTGGAGTCTCTGCAAGGAGACAGACTGGGTCTGGTGCAGGTGAGTTAATGAGCAGGCTCCTTCACCCAGAGTCTGCAGCCAGATCACCTCACTAGATGACTGCTAGTTACCGAGTTTCTTGACAGTGGATTTAAATGGAAGGAACTTACTTTTTCATTAGCAAAGATTTGTTTAATTTTTTTTTTTGTCTGTCACAAGACTCTTAAAACAGGTAGAACATGACACAAAAATGAATTTCAAAACTATCTGAAGTAGCAGGCCCATATTTTCCTTCCATTTGAGGGAACAGATAAAGTGAGGGAGTTGACAGTGTTATTATGTTCAGTTATTTTCTTAGGCTTGGGAACCAAGAGAGGTCACATGTAACACCTGAAATAACACTTTTCAGGCCCTGTCCTGTTCTTCAGCAGTTAGGTTATGCTGACTGATTCTTCTGATCAGCAAATCTCTAGCTGAAGAGAAACTTTTGGTATTACTGTTATTAAGGAAACAAGATACATTTGACCAAACATGTTGCAGTTAAAATAGGGGGGTTTATTTACTGATTGGATCGTGGTCTCTGGCATTTGTATTTACCTCATCTCCTATTTAAAAACAAAATCATGCCGTTTCCTGCATTGTTTCTCTATTTGTTCTTCAGTATTCTCTGTGTTTAAACAGATGCATTTGTATATGAAATTAAGTTTTCCATTGCTTAATGTGTGACTGTTCTTATCCTGTCTGATGAGACTGTTACTATCTGCCAGGTGTTCTTTTACAAAGGAGAGCTGCACCTCATCCCGCTGTCAGAGCCCCACGAGCAGGAATGTGACCTGTCTGCTCCCACTCCAACGATCTCGCAGGCATTAACGCTGTTATCCACCCGTTCTGAGGAGTTCCTGGCTGCAGAGCCCATTAGAACAGCAGTGTATAAGCGCATCAGTGGGTATGTGGGGGCTTTATTTTGGTCATCTGCATCAGTAAGTTTAGATTGTGAGCTGTCTGGGGTACATTCTTGGATTCATTTTCCTGTTAGGTGTGATAAAGTTGCTGCTTTTTCAGAAACCACCAGCTAGAGGTTTTTCTGTGGCATTCTTCTAAAGAGGGGGACCAGTGCGTCCTGTAGGCTGTACTGTGACTGGTTCACTGCTATGATGCCACACCCGAAAATGATGAATTATTCTTCCTTCACATCCTTCTTGTACTAAACAATTTGCAAGTTCTGTGAGCATTTAGGAGCCCTTTGTGGGGACAGAAAGGTTTGCAAACTAAAATGTAGAACCAGCATGCTTTTCAGAGCATCATCTTGTCACAGATCTGTTCAGCACTGTACATGATTTTTTTTGCAAGGATATTCCAGCACGAGCCAGATGACTTCTACACTCGGCGCAGTGAAGGAATGCAGCTGTATAGCTGGACATGTTAGTCAAGTTCACAGTGATTCATCTTACTAATGTGGGGATTAAATTTTTATTAGCTATATATATGTGATATATATATAGATAGATATATAAAAACAGACATTCCAGGTGTTAGATTAGCTGAGTTTTAATTTTCGGTGAGAATAATCATCTGGCATTTGGCCCATGATATAGATTAATATTAAAGTGAAAATGGGAATGTGAATTTTAAAAGAGTGCTTTGGGCTTGCAGTACACTTAATACCCTCTGCTGCTATTGTATGATACAGGTATCCTGAGAAAATTCAGGCCTCGTTTCACCGAGCCCACTGCTACCTTCCGGCAGGCATAGTGGCAGTGCTGAGGCAGCGCCCTTCCTTGGTGGCTGCAGCAGTCCAGGCCTTTTACCTGCGAGATCCTGCAGATTTACGAGCATGTCGTTCTTTTCAGACTTTCCCTCCAGACGAGCGTGTGATGACTGTAGTAAGTGCTCCTTCTGATGCAACTTCGTACTTAATTAGGTTCTGTAACTGACAGAGGTTCTGTGGTCAAATGATACAAATATGTGGATTTAATTTTTAAAATAAAATGTTTTCTGGTTTATTTTTTTGTTTTAATGCTGGGCATAAATTTCCAGTTCGTTATGTCAGTAGCTTTTCTTTCTTCAGATTGACTTTCAAATGGCTAATTGTGAGATAAGTGATTCAGGAATCAGAGATTCCTGCTAATATTTCCTCTGCTGAAATGCTAATTGAGTTCCTTCTGTGATCAGAGCAGTTTGACAGCACTTCCAGCCAACACCAGGAGTTGCTCTCAACTACCCCTGGCTGTTCATTCCAAGGCTTTTCACCTTCTCAGCTGTGCTTACACAGTTCTGTGAGAGCTACTTTATGAAGTGTTTCATGAACATTGTCCAAGCAGTGTTGTATCTGATGTGTTTGCATTACAGAGTTATACCCTTCAGCTCCTGAAAATAAGCTTGGAAGTCAAGTTGTAGACTTCTAGACTGTTTTTGAAATCTCAGTTTCATTAATTGGAAAGAGCCCTTACCTTTTTCAAAAGGTACCACGTTGGCATGAATACTGAGGATTTGTTTTAATGTGTTAATTAGACTGAATGATGTTCATGTTTATTTAAAGATCTCAACTTGGAATATACTTCATAAGATCTGAAAAGCAAAGGCAAAGGTAGCTAAGATGTATTTTGAATATGATCTCAGGTATTGTCTGTAATATTGGTGCTTTAAAACAAAATTTAGAGGAAACCGGTGGTAAGTTGATGCCTGTACACAGCACAGTCACGCTGCAGTGAGTAGTTTTCTTTTGCTCTGTTTTTTTCAGGTTACTTTCACAAAGTGTTTATATGCACAACTGGTGCAGCAGAAGTTTGTTGCGGATAGACGCAGTGGGTACACGCTGCCCCTCCCATCTCACCCTCAATACAAGGCCTATGAACTGGGCATGAAACTGGTAATTATTTGTTCTGCATTTTGTGCTTAGTATTTTGTTTGCTTGTTTACATCTGTCCAAGAAATGACTCTTTGCTTTTTAAGTTGCCCACTTTTACAGAAAGATGCAAGCAAATTCACAGTTACCATTTTTCTGGAAATACCATATCGTGGGAGTTTTACAGAATAGAGCACTCTTAAATAGATTATAAGTACAGGTAAAGTCTTACATGAGAAGTAGCTTGTGCACTACAGATCTGTCTTCTAGGTTGCTTTGCCTGTGTAGAGAAACTTTGCAAAGTCAAAATGATCCATTATTGCTGCGGAAAGACAGATTCCAGCTTCCAAAGCAAGGTATTGCTAACTGACATATAGTTGGGTTTGGCACCTGCTTCTCAAATGGCAGCATCAGGAGCAAGTGCACTTAAATTTGTGATCTTGCACTTAAAATTGTGATCTTGAGAACCTCATGTTGCATCTCTTATACAGGCTCATGGCTTTGAAATTTTGTGCTCCAAGTGCAGTAAAGTATCTCCCAATTCCAAGAGAAATGTTTTAAGGGGTCCCTTGTGGGAAAGATTCCTCAGCAGCCTAAAGGAGAAGAATTATTTCAAGGTGAAGCTCTGTGTGTGTGTGTGTGTGTGTATGTTTGGGGATGAACTCTAAAGAAAGGGGAAATAAAGGAAACCACCATATGGCATGGACCCATCTGGGGCCATGTAAGTGTATTTTTCATTTGTGTGGGTTTTGGGTTTTTGTTGTTTGGTTTTTTTAAAGGTGCTATTACCTACTTATTTGAAGTTTGTAAACTGGACATAAATTGACTACTTATTTGAAGGTTATAAAAATTGGACAGCTTGTATCAGAATTCTTAGGTTAATATCTTGTAAATATAGGAAAAGGGGAATATTTTTACAGTACTGCAGTGCCACTTCTCTGTTTAATTCCCAAACACCAAGACATTCATTCACAATTCCTGCACAATTGTAACCTGGGCATGGTAAATCCACCCTGTTGTAAGAATCTTGGTGTTATCTTTGACATAGTATTATCTTTGATTGTTTTTAATGTACATCATAGGATATTGCAGCACAAGACTTCAGTTTGTATTTGGCTATGAAAACACCTTATGCCCATTTCCCATATTCTGTTCCAAGCATACATGGCAAAGCAGTATTACTTGCTTTGATTTTTCTCAGCACTAAATTTCTGTGGCAAATAGTCATTGTTATGAAGCCTGGCTGTGAAAAGGAAGGGGAGGGAGAATTCTTTAGATTCATACTTGTGGCTTGCATTAAATAGGGACAAATGGAAGGATCTGCTCAATACGTGGAACTGTTGCATATGGCAGAAGATTACTTCCAGCAATCTGTTACCAAGCCAGAAAGGTAAGAGCTACTTGAAATTCATGAGTAATCATACACAGTACCTACAAGTGCTTTAACTTACCTTTTTTAAATACTTGTTACAAAAAACCTGAACCCTTTTCTTCATTGTACATTTAACATAGATGCTGTGGCTTGGACATATGGGTATTTATTGCTCTAGAAGACTCTACTAGTAGAAGTTATTGCTAGAGTAACTATTTATCTTGGTTTTGTAAAATGCTAAGCTATTCCAAGTGGGTGACTGAAAAGCATCATTTGGTTGGTTGGCTATAGAAGGTGTTTAAAAGCTTCATTGAAAAGCAATTCCAGTGAATAATAACTACAGAGCAATTTGTCTCCTTTACTCAAGACAGGTAGCTGGCTGTAGATTTCTCCAAAAGATCAAATCCAAAAACTAGATCATGGCAAAAATATCTGAGGGCTTGCCAGCTCATAATATCTTGACTGAATTTCCTTTGCTTGAATTTCCAGTCCGTGCTGTTTGGGATCTGGCCATCCTAATGTTTACCAAGACAAAATAAATGTAGAGAACAAAGGGAACATGAAAAGTGGGCTTTGGAGCCATCAACAAGGAGTTACAGTAATTGACTGTGTCTTGTTTTGGCTGATACTATCTGTGTAGCATTCTGGTACTTCCCCCCAGTTCACTTACCTGACGTATTTGCACAGAAGGAATAATGAGGAATTTGAGTGAAAACCTGCATGTGGAGTGTGTAATGCCATTGGCATTGTCATGCTAGTAAAAATCCATTTCAGCAAATTGAATTTTTTCCTTCTAGCTCTGTTGAAGTGAGCCCAGGTGATGAAATCTTGACATTGCTACAGGCAACAACTATTGATTTGAAGGAATTTGAGAGAGAAGCTGCTAGTCTTCCTCCAGAGGATGGTGAGCAGGATGGGAGGGTGGACTATTCCTACCACAAATGAGTATTTGTGGAGGGAGAGGGTGAATGTTCACAGCACTATACCAGTCTCTTTGTACTTAGTTGGTCTCCTATTGTGTGACTTGCTAGAGGTGGTGTCACGGGCTGTCATTTCAGATTGAGGCAACCAGTTCATAAGCCACAAAGCTTGGGGCTGTGAGTTGGTGAGATACACAATCCAGTTTCTGGTTTGATAGCACTGGATCAGTAACAGCATGCACACTTACACTAGACCAAGTACCTTGTGTCAACTGTCTACCAGACAGAAAGTATTTAAACATTTGATAATGATAAACCAATTCCAATACTGACAATACAGAGTTAGTTACTCTCTGGTCAACTCTGATGGCCTGTATGGGACCAGCATAGACTTTATATAATACCTTTTTTTCACTCAGTTGACAGAAATGTAGTTGTTGCCAGCGTGCAGTACAGATGACATCTGTATTTCTGAATGATCCAGTAGCACACGTCCAACATTCAGTGTTCATGGTCACAGTGGAAGGTTGGATTGGTTCTCCCTTTACAGTGCAAACCTTTTCTTCCTTCATTTAGTGGCATAAGGATTGTCTATGACTAGAACAATATCTGCTAGTTTGAAGCTGCATATAAAGCAAAGTTTTAAAGTAGTAAAATGAAATCTGAACGCTCTTCTTCGCAGCCTCTCACTGCGTTGTACCCTGTGTTATCCCGTATCAGCATGAAAACAGTGCAAAAATAAGCTACAAAATGTTAGCAGTGCTCTCAACCGTCTGGATTGGACCTTGTGGGCTAACAGACTTGTGCAGAATAACAAATATGTCCTATATTCTTTCAGATGACAGTTGGCTGGAGATTACACCAGATGATCTAGATCAGATGCTGAAGGAGGCAAGAAATGAGTCCCTTCCTTCCGCAAATGAGGATGAGCAGAAATACGACTTGGAAGCAGTTGCTGAAAGTATGAAGGCTTTTGTATCCAAAGTCTCAACGCATGAAGGAGCAGAAATGCCATGGTAGTAGTATTTTTAAGATCGTGTCTGCTGTAGAATGAGTTTTCATTCTGCTGCAGCCCTTTGGTTGATTTTGTAATGCACAGAATCAAAGTTTGAAAGTGTTCTACTAAGCAGAGGCCTGGAGGAAACCCATGTTAGTAGCGAATACGTAGTTACTTTTAAACCAGCTTAGTGACCACTCTGACACTGGTGCAGGTAAAAATGCTGCAAGTTGTCCTGTTTTCCAGCACTCATATTTAGTTTGGTTATGTGGGGTTTACCTTTTTTATTTTTTAACGCTTTTAAGTTGAAGGCTTATTGTTGTTCGTTATCACAGTTCTTAGCACTGTTACTAAAATGTGCAACTGAAGTTTGTTTGAGCTGAATTTTTTCTGCTATGAGGGACTATTCACACTGCTAAGATTCTGATGATGAGGCTGTGCAGAAATAAAAATGAAATTTAAGTCAAGGGAATCTGTGAAATAAGACTGATTTTTGTGGTACAGCTGTATTTAGATTTCCTGTAGATTAGTATTTTGAATATACTAGGCCTGCTTTTGCACCACTGAAGCACAGACTGTACACATAGAGAGGTAGGAGAAAAGAATCACTGTGGATCCCTCTCATTGTTCCCAACAGTGGAAGAAAAGTGCTAACTGAAGATAATAAACTATTTAGACAACAGCAGAATGCCACTAGATTAATTGTTGAAGTTAAGAAAGTGTGTGTGACTGTGGTGTGAACAGGCCTTAAATTTAAAAAAATAAAAATGAGGCAGTAGCAAATTGTCTAGGTTCTTTTTTAATAGCTTTAATATTGAGACAATAACGCCATGTGAGCTGTATCAAAGAGTGTAAGGGTTTACTCAATTTATGCTCTTAACTTTGGTCCTTTTTTAATTACCTTTAGTGTCAATGTCTGAGTTATAATGTAGGGTTTTTCAGTTATTTAAAAAACAAAAAACACCAAAAAAAAGGCAAACCACTGAACTTTAAGAGAGGCCAGAATGAAGCCTGTAGTGTTCTTTCTAGGCAGGAGGTTTCAGAGATTCTCAGCTTTTTAAATCTTTGTCTAAGGTGTGCTACCACCACTTTGTTCCAGAAGGATTCAGGCACGCTTATTTTAGTTCTCTTCAGTGCAGTTTTTCTTCGGTCACAACAAACAATTGAAACGGTTGAGTGTATTTTCTCTCTCATTCCTCTACTTCTGCCAGGAATTCCTCCACTTGCTGTTCCATTTCTAATTCATACAGGCCTCAGACTTCTAAACATTTCCCACACTGTCAGTTCAAATGTCCCAGCTTCAATCTAGGCTTGGGAGAAATCAGTATGCCATATGGCTTATGCCTGTGTTGGCTTATGCAAGCATAAAAGCTTTATTTATTTTAAAATATTTTTATATTTCAGGTCATCTGATGAATCCCATGTTACCTTTGATGTAGATTCTTTTACAAAAGCATTAGACAGAATTTTAGGTGAGATTGCTTCTTTGTTCCTTTTGTCAGAATATCTCATGGTTATTTGGCTTCCCTGGGTTTTCTGATCACCCACGGGCACTGTGCTTATTTGCTTGTTATCTGTACTGACACAAAATAATGCACAGGGGCAGACTCAGAAGAGCTGGATTCTGATGATCTGGATGAAGAAGAGGAGTTTGATTTCTTGGATGAGGATGATGAAGACTTAGATGCTGAAAATCAAAGGGAAGACCAGAAGGAATCACCTAACGAGCTTATAGGCAGTCTCAAGTCATATATGAATGAGATGGACCGTGAACTGGCACATACCAATGTTGGCAAAAGCTTCACTGCCCAAAAGAAAGGGGTAAGTATGCCTTGATTTCTAGTTTGTAGCAGAACAGTTTTGAGAGCTGTATTAGAAAAGAGGAAATACGCTAAAAGTGGTTGTTCTGAGTAACATGGTCAAAAACTTCTGATCATATGCTAAATAATTATTTTAAAAAAAAATGCCACGTGCAAGCAAAATGTGCTGCAGTTGCACCATGGGGGTTTTTTTTGAAAACAAACCAAAAAACAACTTAGCTAAGCTTTAACTTGAACATCATTTCCAAGACTTCGTTTCATTTCCGTTTTACCCTGTTTTAGTAGTAGGCAAGCAGCTGCAGCTTGACTTCTTGAGTTCCTGTAGTAGATTACTCCCATAGGAAACTGAGCCAGGACTCAGTAACCCTCTCTGTCCTTCTCTTGGAACTTAATCTGTATAATGGAAAGCGATGATTTTTAACTGGCATGAGCATTTGGAGACTAAATTCCTGTCTATCAAGAGAGTGTGGAACGTACTCTATTTTGCTGGCTGCAAAACTTCTCCTTCTTTCTTTTCTCTTATGGTTTGTCTTTTTTTAAACCTGTTTATACAATTCGATAAAACTTGCTTCTTTATACTTACTATAGGCAAGTTCTGTTAATGCAACTACATCTCAAAGTGCTGGCCCTGATTCCGGAGCTGAAGATACCGAGTTGACACCAGTTGATGTGGATATGAACCTCGTAGCTAACCTGCTTCAATCCTACAGTGCTCAGTCTGGACTGGCAGGACCTGCCTCTAACATTTTACAGAGCATGGGCGTGTGTTTACCTAACAATGCAGACCATATTGGCTCTAATAATTGAGCAACAGAATAAAAGACTGTCTTAATTCAGAAAACATGGCTGATTGAGAAATGAAGCACAGAAAGACTAATAGTATTTGGAGGAAGAGACAAAAGGTTTGAATTGAAAACATTTATGTATTTGTGTGACTTTAAAAGATACAAAGTGAATTTACCTGCAAAAGCTGTCTGTTTGGATACTCTCTTGGATAGAAATCAGATTTTTCCAGTGCTAACATGTTTTCAGAAAAGTGAAAAATCATATTGTGGCTTGAATGAAAATTTGATTATAAAACCTGTCTTCAGTTTTTCAAATCAGTGGTCCAGTTTGCCATGAAATGTGCTTTGAAATGTCCTTTTACTAGGTGGTTTCAATATCTGGAAAGCAGTTCATGTTCTGAAAATGCTGCTGCCTTCAGGGGGAGGTAGAGGAATACCGTATTACAGGAACAGTGTTCTCCTGGGGATTTGGGAACACTGGCTAAATGTTCAGCAGACGCTTAATTGCTTTTCCAAAAGTACAGTGCTTCATTGTAAGCACATCTAATAATTACTGTAAGAATCTGTTCTTTATTAACCAGGAGGATTTGAAGAGTAATTGGATTGAATATGTAAACATTGGCTATAAGTATATTTTTGAATTTATTTAAATAAAACCTGAAATACAACTTGATTATTGGAGATGGGTTGTTGTTTGATTGGGGTTTTTTTTCTTTGAAGGTATGTATAACTTCCCCAGTGCAGTATCGGAAGTTCTTGGAGCTAAAGCATTTTCATAATTGAGCATTTTTTGAATTCCGTTATTGCTGAATGTTGGTACCATGCCAGTGGTAGCTGCATATGAGCCCAATCTGAATAGTTTTGTTTAGTTTTTCAGTGAAAATGTAGCTAGAAGGTGTTCAGCGTGTTGTTTTCACATGGAATGAAAAATATATTCTAGGTATGAAAACTTAGTTTTAACAAGATAAATTTGAAGTAATTATGTAGAAATTCTTGATTTACAGACAGCAAGAACACAGTCCTGCCAGATCTGAATTGGTTTCTATGAGTCTTTTCATTATTTTTCCTTCCATACAACAATTAAGTGTCTTAACTGGTAGAAGAGCTCATTGGTTGAGTTTTTGGGTTTTGTTTGGGTTTTCTTAAACATGTTCAGAAAAACAGTATTCAGTCATATAAAAGCCTGATTGATCCTGAAGGCATACCTGATTACTTTTAAAGGACTGAATTATTACTGTTATTATTATTGATGTTGTTAGTCTTAAGGTTTGGAGTCCATTTAGTTGAAGACTTCATTTTAATTTTTTTGCATGTTAAGTGTTGGCATTATTTTAACTGACAAAGCAGAATGTAGCAAAATTTGTTTCCGAGTAGGACTTGGGCACTTGTTGGACGATGAGTTTCAGTATCTGACTGCTGTGACAACTGAGTTTGACCAATGCACAGAGAATTCTTTGGAAGTCATGCATTGGCATAGTTTCATTGAAACTTGTGAGACTCTGACAATGTACAATGAATGCTTGTTTGTTGGCTTCCCTACTGATCTGTGCTTGTCAGTTGGGTTTTTTTCCAAATTTTTGTTTGTTTTCGTAAATGACAAGTATCTGGTAAAATTGGAGTACAGCATCACAAATATTGGAAATTCTATACATGAATGCATGGAATGAATGTGGCTGAAGGGTATGATGCTGTTCTGCCTCCCCATTTGTCCTTCCATCAATGTAGAAATTACTTTGTCAACAATTTAGGGAGAGTTACGGGCAAGTTGGCCGAGGACTAGAGGTGGACAACAAGAATGAGGAAGTATAAAGATGCCACGACAGTTCCAGGATTTTGGACTGTGGAGAGGTGAGGTGGAATGAGATTGAGTTTGACAAACCTACACTGGGAAAATTGCAGTAACAGGAGTTCTTGAATCTAGCAGACAACCATAAGCAGCAGCTAGTGGTGGAAAACAGATGTACTTGAGCCTTGAAAAGGTTTATGTTTTAACAGGGAAGGTAATTGACACTGAAGCTACATAAAATTCTCCACTGATGAGCAGTCAGATCAAGTTCAGACACTTTAAAAAACAATTGAGTTAAAAGAACATGATCCCGTTTAAACTCTCTTGTGGCCTGTACTATACAAAAGGTCAAAACAGATCAAAGGACTCTTCTAATGTAGTATGTGAAGAAAACTTCTAAGCTAATGTTCAGAACAAAGCTGCTCTTTTGGAAGCACTTCAGCTGATCTTGCTTCTTGGATAATCTTACTTTTCCATCAGTTGGACTGTTATTTCTGTGGGGCTGTACACATTCCAACTATTTACATTTGTTCAGCAGCTCTTAGTGGAGACCTTCAAGACTCTGGAATTGCTCACAAGACAATTTGCAATCGAAGAATAAGCGTTTCCATGCTGCCTCTGCCACTGCTTTGAAGTAACATATGAGACGTTTCTGTTTTTAATTTTGAAAGGGAGTATTTTTAGTGAAGGAAGCCTGATGGAATTAATTACAGAAGACAAGTGCAGTGTGGTTCCCTTTCAGTGGATTGCTATCAAAGTTTTAATTGTGTTGTGAATTAGTTTAACTAGAACTGCGTTCCAACACAATTTATTCACTTCGCTCACTTGAGCATCTGCCCTTCCTACAGCCTTGTTCATCCTAGAACTCCTGACCCTTCCCAGAAATGTAGTTTTCTTGTCTGTGGTTTGACCCCTGAAGCCCCAGTTCTGAATGACGTAGTTGCTGACTGGCATGTTTCAAGCAAGAAAACAAATAAATGAGCTTTCATCTTCTCTATATGAGCTGGAAACTAATCCCAGGGGACAGCAGAGACCTTGAACTTGGTAAAACTCTTATGAACACCTGGGCAGTTTGGCTGTTGCCACTCTTTCCACCAATAAGCTTTATGGGCTAGTGAGGAGCTGAAGAAAGAGGGCCTTTATTTTCCCTGGGTTCCTGGGGGGTGTGCAGTTCATCTCAGAAGTCACCAGCCCCCAGGCTAGCAGCAGTGTTTCCAGCATCAGCCTAATCCTTGCTGGTCAGTGGTGAGGAGGTTTTGCCGGGTCCTGAACTACAGCTACCTGTGCCCACGTGCAGTTCGGTGTCAGTGATACAACCAAGGCCCTGTGTGCTTACATCCATCTCCTGTCCAGGAGCTGTTGCCAGCATCCTTGCCGTGGAAGGGACACCAGCCTGCCTTGTTGCCATGCGAGATCATTCCCTGCACCGCACCTGCCTCTCCTCTCTGACGCTGCAGTGTGGGAGTAACACTGACAGGGCACGTGTTAGTTGCCGTGGTGGAAAAGCGTTTTTTATGAACGTTTGCGCAGCTCCTGCTGCAGCTACTTATCTAACTCATAGGAGAAACTGGATTTTGTTTTTAGTACCAGTGGGAGTCAGGGCGAGCCCTTTGTACCTCCTCAGGATCCTTTGGGATGCCGCAAAAGCTGCAGCAACAGCGGCCCTCCCTCTTGCCATTTATGTCTTTGGAATGGAACACCAGAGCATCTGTTCTGGCAGGTCTAAGATGGAAGTTTATTTCTTTCTCCAACTTGGCTTATTCCCCTAAGAAAATACCACCATGGAGTGCTGTTGGGGTTCTTAAACAGCAAGTGAAAGAAGTTAATTGCTCAAAAATATTAAGTCAGGGGTGTGAAGCCTAAAATATCACCTTAGGTGATGCGCATCAGTCCTGATCACCACCTCCTGAGGGTAGAGCAGGGATTTTACTGCAAAATCTGGGTGCCAGTAGTAGATAATTAAATCAACAGCAAAACTGTGCTTTCAGGGTAAGTAACAGATCATTGTTGTTGTGGTCATGATGCAGTTTATCTTGTGTTCGAGTTCATACAGTACCCACCTGTCCTGTTGAAATAGAACAGCAACAAGAGGCCAATGTAGGAATATGTGCTGGGTATGCTTCCAGGCTACAAAACAGTCCTGTGGAGAGCAGTGCCACGGAAAAGGGTGTCAGGAACAACTTAGAGGTTTCTGGTGTGAAACTGTACCTAAGAAGCAAAGTAATTAACAGAGGCAGAAGAATATGACATGGTGAGTTATTCCTGTGCAAAGTCTGGATTGCTGTTTGGAGCAGAGCCTGTGTTTAAGTGGGTCAGCACTCCCAGATGGATATTCACAATTTTGCAAGCGTACAAGGATGGGAAGCGAAGAGCAAAGCTAATGTGAAATAGAGCTCAGTTTATTCAGAAAAAATACATAGGTGACTTGACCACTGTTGCAGGTAGGAGGGAGAAAATTAGATATTACCAGTAAAGACTTTATAATTTGATGGAGAAAAAGGCGTAACAGTGATGATAATCTAAATTAGTTCAGCCCAAGCCTTTTGTTTTTTTTTAATGGGTGAGACTTATCAACCTTACCTGCAGTTACAAGGCCATGCAGTTAGTCTGTTGGAATACAATCAGGTTAATTTCAGCATTCTCCATGCTGCATACTAACAGCAGCCACATTTAACTATCATATTTCCTCAGATCATGACTGTGTACCCCTTGTGACTGTAGACATATTTTCTTTCACTAATGAAAACTTCCCAGGTTTTTGTTGTTCAGACAGATCATGGTTACTGAATTTTGTGCAGGATCTATTTGCTTTCACCATGTTCCTGTTAAACAAATCACTCAGCAGTGTTCCACAGGTAAAGCTGCATAGCTGCTCTTGTTCTAGTCCACCACACATTGATTTAGCACCTGGGCTGCAGTGTCCACCCTACCAGTTAGGAATTTTCAGCTTCCCATTTAAAGATCTTTTTGAGGTTCTTAGACTTATTAATAATAATTATTATTTTTCTGCTTCTATTAATATACTAGTAAGTCTTCTGGGTCCCTTTGCAATATTTCTGAGGCAAATGCAGTGGGCCCCTCACCCCAAAAAGGCCATTGAATGACTCGAGCGTGGCCAGAGAAGGGCAACGGAGCTGGGGCAGGGTCTGGAGCACAGGTCTGCTGGGGAGCGGCTGGGGGAACTGGGGGGTTCAGTCTGGAGAAGAGGAGGCTGAGGGGAGACCTCCTGGCCCTCGGCAACTCCCTGACAGGAGGGGGCAGAGAGGGGGGATGAGTCTCTGGAGCCAAGGCCCCAGCGCCAGGCCCCGAGGGAATGGCCTCAAGCTGCCCAGGGCAGGGTCAGGCTGGCTCTGAGGAAGGATTTCTGTGCAGAAGGGGCTGTTGGGCGTTGGAATGGGCTGCCCAGGGCAGGGGGGGAGTCCCCATCCCTGGAGGGGCTGAAGAGTCGGGCTGAGCCAGCGCTGAGGGATCTGGGGGAGTTGGGAACAGTCAGGGGGAGGGTCATGGTTGGGCTGGAGGAGCTTCAAGGGCTTTTCCAGCTGAGATGATTCTGTGATTTCCACTCGTAGAAACTGGGCCCCCTTTTTATTTCCTGACACTAGAATGATTTTACTGCATGTGAAATGCTGGGGTTTCAACCCCCAGCCCCAAATTGAGGTTGACATGTGGGTGATTCCCACAGCCCTTCCCAAGGGGGGGTGAGTTTCCCTTTAGGCTTCCCCCCAGGGTGGGCCGGCCTGGCAGACAGAGCCATTGGGTAAAGGAGCCCCAGGGGTCCCGCAGTCAGTAACCCAAGGTCAGGTGTCCCACCTGGGGATAACAGCTGGGACCCCTTGCAGGCAGGGGCAGTGTCTGTCTGTGAGGTGGGTGCCCTGTGCAGAGTTCCCTGCTGGGGAAGGACCTCCCGCCTCCTGGGACTGGGCTCCAGTCAGCTCTGGCTTTTGTAAACACGGGCTGTGCAGAGATTCAGTGTGTGGCTTCCTTGGTCTGATGTGTTTGGTTTGTTGACTCGGTTGTCTCCCGTCTCTTCTATGGGAGACTGCATGCCACCATTTATCCCACCCATTGTTGGTCGTGTGGTGTCGTTGCTGGGGTCAGTGGGATTGATGTCGATTCTGTATCATCTGATGGACTTGTTTGTAACCCCAGCACTCACCCATGTATTGACCCTTTTGTATCAAATAGAGTTTGGTTATTGGTTCATCTTTATGCTGGCTGTGTCTTTATGCTACTCCTAATAATTGGCAAAACAGCATATCATGCTTTTTCCCCAATCCCTCCAAGTCTTATTGAACAATCCCTTCCTAGCCTTGCCTCCTAACTTCTGCTATTGCTCTCTGTAGCTGTATTTTCTTTAGATGTGAGGTTTTGTGGAGAATGCTACATAAAAAAGATGCTATGTACAGTTGAGCTCAGGGACCAGTGGAGAAGGATGTTATATCAGCATTTTCTGTTCCTGTCACAGAGTGTTTCTGCTCCTGTCATCTTTCTCATGTTTGTGAGAGCTGATGCCAACTTCACTTTCTCTATGTAAGGATGATTCTGGACATCACTGAGTGAGTGCACCTGATTGTCTCCAAAATACCACTGACAGCTCTTAAAGAAAACACAAGTCACACCATTTCCAGATTGGCAACCTGTCCTCTTTTTTTTAACAGAGATGGTTTTGGTGGTGCTCAGACATTCCCAGGTGTATGCATTGTTGCATGAATGACATCTGGCAGTATTTTTTTCCCTTATACAGCTGCTTGCTATCTGTTGTTAAGTGAAAAGTGAACAAGTTTTAAATGGGAGCTGAAGGCTGGGGTTGCTGAATTCATTTCAGCAGTGCTTCAGACTGAAGCACAGGAATTGTATTTGTGTAATTACAAGTTGTTCTGACAACCTGTCCCTTGCAGCTGCCAGAGTTGAACTGCTCAGGGTTACTTGGAAAATGGTGACCTGAAAAATGACTTGAACATGGTCATGTTGTCAGGGCTTTCCATTCAGTGCTGATGTCCTCTCAGGCTAAACATCAGATTCAGCATGTGTCCACTGTGTCTCAGAGCATGGTTTAAGGTGAAGTAATTTCTTGATGTAAGAGCTTCCTCCTTGACCTGTAATGCTAAAATCGGGCTTTCTGCCATTCAGGATGGGTGAGTACCCCTCTGGGTAGGAAAATGTGACCTTTCCATACAGCAGCAGAGCAGCCCAAGGTGATGGGAGAGCATGTGGTAAGTGAATTCTCAGTCCACAAGATCTCCAGGTCAGATTTTTCTGAGCTCCCTCAGAAACAGACAAGTTGTGCCATGCAGTTTGGTTACTTTGATCACCTGCTGGCACCTGTTGGAGATAAACATAACTTTTATGCCTTGCTGGTTTTGATAGGTAGGTGGAATGCTGCTCTGAACCTGCCTGCATTGCTCTCCAAAAAGCTATTTCAAGTCGATCAGATAAATGTTATTATTTTATAGCTGCCCATGAATCCTGCTGGCTGGTAATACTTGTAAACAACCGGGTTGTAATGCCACAGGCTGACTGCCTTTCAGTGGTAGCTCTTGCTTTAAGTCCCAAGCCCATGAAGTCTCTGAAAGCAGTGGAGTCTCAATGATTTATACAAGCCAGGTGTCCCCAAAGAGGATTCATTTAATGGATGTGGTTTGGAGAGAAATACATTGCTATGTCCCTTTTGTCTGCCAACGTTATCTTTTACATGGGAAAGCCCTGCTGTGTTTTGTTGAAGCAGCATCTGCTAGGAATTGCCTGTTTCTTTTTTCAGGTCACCTGCCTTTATGGAGCATGTTCTGTCTTGACTGCAGTATTATTCAGCCTTCAGCCAGATTTCCGAGGCAAATGCAAGTGAGAACAATGTCTCTCTGCTCTTGTTTTTCTGTCCTGTTCATAGCTGTGTACTGCCTATAATCATTCCTGCTTTCTTAACATCAGGAGCGGAGGCCATCATTGTTGTTTCATACCCAAGTCAGAAGGGTATGGATTAAGGATTTTATAAAACAGTTTAAAATTTAAGGCTCTTCAAAAGATGTAATGAAAATATTGCCTTGCAGTTGTTCTTGCTCTACCAAAAAAAAAAAAAAATTTTTTTCTTACTGGTAATTAAAAGGAACATGCAGATGTTTAAAACTGTTTGAAAAAGGTGAGTTATGGAACTGGACAAATGTGAAAATAGCTTTGCTTTTTCTCTAACTTTATTCTTGTAGGAAACAGGCAGTAACTGATGAAATCTGAAAAAGCCTGGTGTAGTCAGAGAGACTGCAACTCTTAAAGACTTTTCCTGAAGTCTGTGGGTATCTAGCAGCTTCGTCCTGGGCAGTGTCTGGCCTGCTGGCATTGAGCAAGGGGGCAGCAGTGATGTCGCCCCTCCTGTGAGCAGCCCAAGGGACACCTGACCAAGACAGGTCTGTATCAGCAATGTAAAAGGAGCTGGTGCCAGTCAGTACTTGCTCTCTTTGTGTTAGAGTTCACCGATAGCCTACATGTTGATGTTAAAAACGTAATTCAATAAGCAGAGTAACCCAGTTTCCAAAAGCTGGGTGAATTTTCTCTGATGCTGCATCTGATCACACTGCAGCTGGTTTGACAAAGACATACATTGCAAATACGTGCTGTAAAAGCCCCAAACCAAAACACACAAAGTTCAGATCACTGCAGGAGTCATACAGCCATTCCTCCCCTCACTCGTAGGTACTACTTTTTGATGCTTTTACTTCTTAGTCCTTTTTCTGCCGCTGGGAGAACAGATCATGTGTGGATACTGAAAAGTATGAAGTACATTGAACTGGATGCTGTAGACTGGAAGCAAGCTTGGGGCACTTTAATGAACTCCGTAAGGGTGAGTTGGGAGGGCATTAAGAAGTAGGAAAGAGAAGTGGGAGCATCTTGCTGGCGGCTACCTAACTCTTCAATATCTTCTACTGCAGAGAAGCAGAAGAAGGGAGCGAGGCTGAAAATCAAAACGTCAGGTTCCAGAGATGAGAGAGGAGGTGAATGCTGGGGAATTAAAATGGTGTGATGGGGGAGAAAGCAGGAGGAACTGCTATGAAGAGAGGCAGTGAGACACGTTTCAAAGGAAACCGGATGCAGGCGTGTCGCAGTTCAGTGGTGTGGGGGCTCCTGTGGTGTGTCTGGCTGGGCTGGAGGGGAGGGAGCAATGCCCTTGGCTGTTTGTTCTTACCACGATGACTGACAGATCGAGCTCACAAACGTGAAAGACATGCTTTGGCATGTGGGTTTTATTGACTGAGAGCAGTGAGGGTGAGAAAGGTGTTTGCACATGTCACCGTGGCCTGAAATAATCCCCTCCCAACCTCCTAAAGTAAAATTAACTCTGAGGAAACAAAGCACAACTCAACCGTGTGAGAAAGCCACCTTTTTTACTTGCTGCTCAGGTGTCATGACTCCAGATTTTTACCACTGTGCAAAAGGTCTTTCACCTACATGGAACCCTAATGGTGGCAGTCAATGATACATTCCAGTTCCCCCTTCAGTTATCTGTACTCATGGCTTTGAAATCTTGGCATTTGAACTCTGACTAAGTAGACAGGAAGGACTGTCAGACTGAATCAGCAGCAGATCAAATATACATCCATCCATCCATCCATCTCTTTCACTAAGCTTTTCTTGCCCAGACGCTTTGTTGCTCTCCCTCCAGAGAAGTGATACCACTTCATCAATACAATGAGACCAGCTCTTCAGGCAAGCCACAGACTTTTGGCAGAGAGTAAGGGGCACCATGCCTCTTGGGATTGTTCTGTTGGAAGTGCAGTCCTGTCTTGCAGCAGTTCCTCTCACTTTTGCATTATCTGGGTGGTTCTGATATGCTTATATGTGGGTTTCTCTCTTCCACTCTCTGCCACCAGATAGCTCTGTTCTCTCTTCCTTGGGATGGAAGTAACACTGTCTTACTGGTGGGGAAAATGGTGCCTCTAGAGATATTTTTAGCTGCTCAGATGTCTTGACAAAGGAGCCCACTTAACATTTGCAAAAAAATAGGATGTTTTATATGAAACTGGAAGATTGAATGGGAAGGGAAAGAGAAGAAGGGGAGAGCATACAGGCAGTAGCTTTTTTTTCTGGGTTGGGTTTTTTTTTTTTCCCCAGTTTGTCGAGATCCATATAAATGTGAACACTGAAACATGCCACTGTACCTTTTTTTTTTCTGGAAAAAGTGCGTGTTTGATATCCATCCAAGATGGATAAATGGAGGAAAATGGGACACAGGTGCCAGGGGTTCACTGTTCTGTTGCTTGCTGGGCCTAAGAATTTTATTGTACATTTACTGCAAGTCATGGGATCTCAAAGGTGATCCACTGTACATGGAATTTCCTGAGGATGATCAGTTTAGAAATGGCTTTGCAGGTCTATGTACCTGAGTGTAAGATGGCCATCAGTGTGGTGCTATCCTCACTGTAACACAGACTTCGCTTTCACTAACTTTGGAAGCTTTTGTATTGAGCTTTTGTAGTTGTGGTAGAATCGCAGGCTTGCCTAAGCCAGCTGAGAAGTTTGCTGCTTAACCCACTCCCAAATCAGCTGGTGAGCAATGGCCTGTTGGGGAGGGAACCAGGGTAATAAACTACCATCTTCTTGCTTTGAAGATCCAGGCTTTCTCTTCAGACCCTTCATGATTTCCTCCAGGTCAAACCAACGGGCTTCCTCTAGTTCCAGGCTGTTCATACTGATCTGGAAAGAATTGAGAGAATACCTGTTCCTTAAATCAGATTTAAATGTGGGCAGCGGTACCTGGCTTGTTCCTGCACCCACAAAGCTCCTATCCGAGCATGACCAGAGTGCTTTATCCATGCCTGAATTAAGTGCTGATGCCAATACCAGAAAGGACATTGCTATCCACCAGTGCTTTGTTGTCTTGGTTTCCTGACGGAAGGCACAAATCAGGCAGCCCTATTCCATCATGGCACTGGCCAGTGGCTGAGCACAGTAACTAACAGGGCAGAATCTGCATGTCCTATGCAAATATGATCTTAATGCTTGAGAGGGCCTCCTCTGCAAAGAGCAAAAAATATAGGGGTGTTGGGCTCTGGGCTTGTATATATACAGTCACCCGTGCAAAATCTGGCACGTTGCAACAGATGCTATGATTATTTTGAAGCTTGCTGTTGACTGGTAGAGAAAGCCGATGGGAAACTGCATTTAGAGAGGATCTGACGCTCTCCGAGCTAAAGTCTGCGGACTGAAAGAGATTTTGCTATGTAAGGCAGGCAGTGCAATGCCTCAGGGGAACCTGCGTCTGCTCACCTCAGTCTGCTGCTCTCTCACCAAGGCGTGACAAGCTATCATTAAGCAGCTGCTGGGAAAGGGCCAGTGCTGAGAAGCCGAGTACTGGAACGATTCCACCTCCAGACCCACCTCTTCTGCCACCTCCCGCCGGACTGTCTCCTCCACGTTTTCACCTAGAAGCAAGTAAAGTTAGGTAAGGGCGGCCTGGCCTCAGGGCAGCAAACCGTGGCAAAGAAAATGTAGGCATGCTGGTTTCTGATGTGTTCCAGCCCTGACTGCTCATGCACAAGCAGGAGCTCCGACTGTGCTGACCTGGGAACACTTGGCAGTAGGATGCTCAATTAAATTCATCAACAATGCCTACCTCCCTTAAACAGAGGCATCAGAGACATTTTTGGCTGTGTCTATATACAGCTGGCGGACAGAACAATGCTGCCTCTCTTCATCATTTCCTTTTTTAAGCCATTTTTCCTCAGATAACAAGAGGTCTGTAGTTTTTGTTTTTTTCTGAGCACTAGACACAAAATGGACTAAACAAGTATCTGGGGTTCTGACCTGGGGAGCCTTGTATTTACCATCAGGGACTAGAGCAACCTGACACACACCTATAATTCACATTCTCTTCAGATACATACAGCTATTTAGAATTCTGTTTGAACGGCAACACCGACCTCTTTAGATCCATTTTTTTTCCCTGCTATCACCTATGTTTCCATCCTCCTCTGTGAACAGCTATTTGCAGGATGTCCCATCGTTCTGCCCCCACGCCCTGCATGTCCAAGGCCCTCACGCTGGATCAGAGACTGCCTTACCCATGTCACAGAAGCCTGACAGAGCGCTGTACATCCCCTGGGGAAATGAGGGCTGTCGAGCAAGGAGGCACCTGCTCCCATCAGACACCAGGGTGATAACCACCGGAGACATCTAGCAAACACATCAAAAAGTGAGTAAGTGCAAACTGTTGCTTTTCCTAGTACCCAGGCTACACACAAACTGCCTTTTACAGATTCCCCTGCATGTGACCCAGCAGCACCGAGTCGCTTACCTTTGCTTGCTCAGGTGCTCACCTGTGGGTAGTAAATTATCCCACTGGCATGGCAGACACGTTTGCTGCCAGCCACGTTTTTCTGAGTGGGCTGGCCAGTTTTGCTACAGTACTGGTGGGAATCGTGCCACCGAAGAAGGGACTGAGCCTGCGAACACCAAGAGAGAAACACGAATCTTATTTATACCTGGGGCAGAAGATTCAGAGCACTCTCCCTGAACAATTATGTTTGGAAGCCTCAGAAAGGTAAATGAAGTACAGTCACTGCTTTGAAAAACAGCAGATTCTGAAATCAATGTTTCATGCTTCTTGCTTTAGCATCCAAATTCGAGTGTGTTTGGGGGAGGTGGGGAAGAGTTGTTCTTTATCAGGATATAATGGGAGTAGTAATGAGCAACAAACTATTCTGTGGAGTCTCCAACCCTGAATACCCTCTTGAAAAACAGCCCAAGCACCACAAATACACAACAGGAAAATAAACATGACCTATTTCTACTTATGGGTCAGGACAGCTGATTTTCACACACAGGTCTTTGCTTAGGGCTTCCAAACACAGGGCATCTGCAGAGTAACAGCTTATAAATGAGTAGTTTTAAAAGAGCAACTCTGAAAGAAGATCTGTATTTTTTTTCTGTGAAATTCAGTTTGCCTAGATAAAGGAAAACTAGTGCGTGATAGTTGTTAAACTGAGGACAAACTGGGATTGCTGTGACTCCTGATAAGATCAGTGTGTTTCACACTGGACATACAGCAGGTCGATGATAAATGGCTAATGACTGCAGTAATTTTTAAGCTACTTGTCTATTTCTGTTGCAGCTTGCTTTTGGGATTACGAATTTGCAAAACTGCTGTAATTTTTAGTGTGTTTGTACCGAGGTCACTGAAAGTGTACAGCAGGTACTTCCACAACATGTATTAAATCATAAAACAACATGGGAGACAAGAAGGGTTGATGTTAGAAATTGCAACTTCTTAAAGTAAAAAATCCTGTACGATACCGAAGCCAGCAAAGGAGAATCTTTCTGATCCACTACGAAGAGAGCCTTCCGTAAGTCAGTAAACGATCCCTTGAGTTCAGACTCAATGACTGATTTCTCCAAGGCTCCTGATTTAAAACAACAACAACAACAAATCTTTGATCTCATAAACTGCGGTTATTATCCCAACTTTACGCCCTTCATTGTTCCGGTATACAATTTCTGGAAGTTCCCGTGGAAGTGACATCACTTCAGTGGTAACATTCCCAAATGTTAAGTGACCTGCCAGCAGCCCACCTTTACTAACACACAGGAACAGCAGTGCCGTTCTGTGGCTCCGACCCACCATGCTCACAACAGCTCCCACAGAGACTCCCCTGAGTCCTCTTTGGCAGCAAATGTTCACCCAGCAAAGACTGGGGATGCTGCCTAGGCAGCATCTTCATCTCGGTGCATCAAACATGATGCTGACACAGATGGAAGAGGAGAATCATCCCAACCTAAATCCAGGGCAAAGTGTGGTACGTGCTCATCTGAACAACCGATCAGCACCGACTTCTCTATCCACTGTTCAGCCTCTTTGAATTTCTCCAGGATCCTTTTAATCTCTAAACAGCAGGGGAAAGGGAAAGAAAAATCTGTGATGAAAGCAAATTTGTACAGCCATGATGCTCTCTCTGGCTCTTCAAGGTACACACAATCTCAGCTGAAGGCAGGGTGCTCATGTGTGTGGGGACCAGACAAGTGGCTCACCCCCATGGAGACCGAAAGTCTGGCTTTCCTCCTAGCTGTTGGAAGTTTTGCCATGTCAAGCTAAAGGTGCAAATGCTTTCACACTTGGGGAGCAGCTGTCCGTTCTGTTTCTGTCCTGCACCAGCCAATACCTTTCTCTCAACTTTTCCTGCATTATGCCAAATAACCTTTGTCAGTTAGACCTCCCTTGTTTTCCTGACAGCCTTTTCTCTTCAAAAGGCACAGTCCCAAATGTTTAAAACTAACCATCTCAAAATAGATCAGATCTATGTGTGAAGAGCATGAACTTGTGTCAGCATGCCAAGGTATTAACTCTAAATAGTCTTTGGATGTTAACAAACAGCATGCTGCATGTAGCAGGATGTTCTTGCACAGCTTGATAGATCTTTCAACCCCCACGTAAGGGGTTGCTTATTGTACATGACGCTGTATCATCTCAGCTGTGTGACCCAGGAGGTGTTTCTTTCCAGACACCTGCTTACCTGCTGCACTGACCTGTGGTACCAAATATTGCTTCCCGACTTCCTGCAGGAAGGGGGAGAGATTGTGAAAGAGGTAGAATGTTCCTGAGGTCTGGGCTTGTCTACAAAGGCTATCATCTTCCTTCAGGTCATTTAAGTATCTGCAGTGAGAAAAGAAGATGAATTCAAGATCATGTTAAGTGTGTTACACTTATTTGGATGTATTTATTTTGCACAGAGCATGGGGGCTGAACAGACAGTACAGGTTTTAGGTATTCCACATGCCTCTAGAGTTTTTGACAGCTGAGTCTACTCTTTGGTAGGTTGTAGCCTCTAGCAAAGGTGCTGTGTGGCAGAAAACACTGCAATTCCTACTGCCACACAAGCACCCTCAAGTCTTGGACATCCACAATCAGTAACCCAGCCTCTTAATCCCAGAGGTCTGCTTTATAGACATGATCATTTGTGTGCAGGAAACCTTGATCTTTCCTTTTATCCCCCCCAGTCTGGATGTCTCCGAGTCCTTTGTGGCAAGGCTGCTGAGCACTTTGGATGTTGAATTAGCTTCCCATCAGGCTACCTCATTACTGCAGGGTACATTCTACCTGTCACACTGATGTGAGGGGTAAGGAGTCTTAGGGCTGGAGTCTTAGGGCCCAGCTAGCCAGAGCCTGAGTTAGGAAAAGCAATCGTTGGAAGAAAGGCGACAGGATGTGCTTCTTTCAGACTGTTTGAGTAGTATTTAAATTGGGGGGAGCAGCACCGCTTCCAGTCTATTGCTTGTATTCTCAGAGATCTTTAGCTGGGACAGTAAATCTAGACATTCATTAACAGAGCTCCAGCCTGCAAGTACTAGTTCTTAACAGTGGTGAAGGGAGTGGAGAGATTTTGACTTATCATTTACAGAGCTCACACAGCATTACTATGTTATTGCTGAACTGTTAAAAGATAAGACCCTGGGCTAGATTTAGGTAGGGCTGCTTGTGACAGTCGACACAAGAGTGTCAAGCTCTGGTCTTCCGACTGTACACAAGAATCAGCTGAGAACTTACCTCATTTTTCGAACATAGGTAGAGTGGAACCGGCACATGAGAGAGGAGGCTCTTCTATACACTGCTTGATAAATTGCAGCCATAACCAACCTGTACAGGTAGCTGTCTTTGCCTAAAAAGAGAAGCACAGAATATAATGCAGTGGCCCTACAAAGTTAAATTTGATTTAAAAGGTGCAATAACCCAGTGCTACCAGAAATCCCCCTCTTGCAGAGCCTGCAGCATGCTGGCATCTGCTTTCTAAAATTATCACTTCGGTCTTAGTCTCTAGTCACACATCAAACCCAGTTTCAGACAATTTTCAAGACTCTTTAAAGATACCTCAGTTTGTTTCCACCTGTGAGTGTGCACAGGTCTTACAGACACTGCTCTAAGACTAGATTAAATGTCCCTGTCCTAAACTCCTGTATCCCTGGGGAAAAGCGCCGCGAAGGTGGCTGCTCTCTTGCTTATTTCCTACACGGTTGTAACGGCCTCGATCCAACTGCACATCCTCTTGCAGCACACAGGAGGTCTGTGGGAAAGGCACCGATGCCAGAACAGAACGAAAGACAAAATATCAGCTGCGGAAGAGAATTCCCGGAGTTAGAGGAGAGACAGCAGTTGCAGCTGAACTGGATCATCTCCAGCTATGAACGGGTTTTGTGCCAAAGGATCCTACCACATTTTCAGCTCAGGCAGTCACAGGCTGCAGTTTGAACTTTGTTTCAGGATGTCAGAAAATAGCCAGGAACACTACCCTCTCTAGCATTCATCTGAAACAAAAATGAGCCACGATTCATAATCCTTTATGACTGTGTTGAGTATTTCGTTTTTCCAACCATGGAACTCGAAGCCCGTTAAAGAGGAAGTTATGTTTGCTTCGACTTAGGAACACATAAGCAGCGCCAGAGAAGTCTGAGTCCTTCCTTTCGGTAAAGGTCAGTGACAGCTCCCGAGCCGGAGTGGTGCCCGAGGCGAGGCCCCAGGCTGTCCGTGGGGGCACTTTGTGGCCAGTGGTGTGGAGGCTTGGCCATGTGGCTTCTGAACCTCTGCCCCGGGTCCCTCCTTCCCACTGTCTCAGCTGGGGTGATCTTCACCGGGACGATCCCCGGGAGTCTGGGGGAGCATCGGCGTCCCCGCTCGACGCTCCAGCCGCCGCGGGAGCTCTGGGCACGCTGCCGGCAGCCTCGGGCTTGTACAACCAGGCGAGGGGCGACTGTCACACCGAGCGTGTCTGGAACAACTCCGCGGTGCGGATGAGCGGGCATCCGTCACTGCTCTGCCCCCGCGTCTCCTATCGCCTGGCGCCTGAACATCTCCAGCGCGGCAGCCGGCCCCGAACGGGGGGTTACACACAGCTCTGCCCTGGGGAACGAGCAGCGGGACGGGGATAAGCGCTTGTACCTGGAGCGATGAAACGCAGCGTGCGCTGGCGCTTAGCCCCTTCCCTCCCAGGAGCCGCAGGGCCAGGCCTGGGTTAGGCTCACTGCACGCTCCAGGGCAGTCAGCGCTCGGCCCCGGGAGGCGGCCCAGAGGGCCCTGCCCT